GGGCATATTGGGGGATAGATGCAACAATGGATGCTCACCATTCATGAGCTGTGATGGAGTGAGGGGAGTCAAAGCGGACCCCTAGATGTGGGTCCTGAACAACTGGGCAAATGGAATAGCAATTTCCTGAGAAGATGAGGAATGGGGGAGCGATGAGTAGGGGGAAGGTGCATTTGTGGTGGAGGTAGACGAGTTGCCTTGGTAGGCGGTAGGCAGATGGCGGGACCACCTTCACAGGTAGGGGTGAGTGACAGATGAGAGGGGTGAGCAAAATAGCTGGGGTGGGGGGGGCACAAAGTGTGCCCACAAAGTGGGCACAAAGTGTTAGCTACTTTGAATGATTTTGTTGGTAAAGATAAGTTTGACACCCAAATAGTTATTTTAAACCCACAAAATCATTTGATTTGGTACATATAGTACATTCCTATGAAGCATTTCCAAAAATAGTGTCAGTGTTTGGGCTTGTGTCCTTGCATAGCCAGCCTTGTACTCCTGCTGAAAGGACAATGTGTCCCTTCACACACTTGTTATAAATCTTTCCAGAGACACTAATGAAATAAGAGGGTGATGATTCCAAAGAGAAAGGTAGAAAATGTGGGGCTTAACAGCTCTCCGAATGAAATCAGCCACCAGAAGCGTCTGTGCACAATCTATTTTTGCTGACAATGCACAAAAGCAGCAGCTTTATTTTATGGAAAATGACTAAAACCAGCGGGAGCTCAGGAGTGGGTAAGAGGAAGGAGTTTTCCCGTGTCTAGAGCGCCGCAGCTCTCCTGGTCTGCCATGTCATTCTGCCTCGTGATCAGTGGAAGCATTGGGTCCACGTCACCATCAAATGTCATCACAACCTCATGAGACCTTTTGTGCATCAGGGGGTCATGCGTAGTCTGAGCATCCCTCAAAGAAGGGGCTGTGACTAGGAAAGGGCATCCGTGTATCTGAGCCATTCCGACTGTAATCATTTATGTCAACATTAAGCCAATTTATTTAGATGCAGATGTCACAGGCTGATTAAAAACTACTCAGTGGCAAATACTGCATCTGCTGCTGAGATGAGAATTAATAGACACAAGCCAGACTACATTTATATACGCCTGACAGCTCACTGGGGGAGCACAACACGTGCTCAGTCGTTTATCTGACTATACAAATTAGCCCAAGGTGAGCCTGCCCCTCTTCTACTGAAAAATGCTTAAATGAATGATCAGACTCTGCCCCCTTTTCCTCCCCTGCATGATAAATCTCTCAGGGCTCTATGTCATTGTCCTGGTTATCAACTGTAATGAATTGTAGAAATAAAATATTTCGGAATGCTCACCACACAATCCAGGGACCACAGGATATTTTGTAATTCCAGAAATAATGGATTTTTTGGTTGCTGACTCATGCTTACATTCTAGGAAGAAATCTCAAAGGACCATGGATGGAACCCAATGCTTTGGAACTTACGGGTCTGAGCAGGGCTTGGGGTGGGGAAGGAGGGGATGCAGAGCCAGAATCTAAAGGTGAACCAACAGGCAGCATCCAGGGACAAACAGTGCCCCCAGGGGCTCAGCTCATAGGGAATGGGCAGGAGGGAGAGTCCAAGTGCAGGGAGTGGATGGAAATCAGGGATGCCAGATGAGACAAGACAAAGCACTTCTAGGCAGGCTGTTCATTGCCCAGTTCTATGTCACTTCTGAATGTTGGAAAATCTGCACAGCATTTTGATTGTCTAGCAGAGTAATGCATAGAAAGGACAAATGATAGCCCTGGTCCAGACTTGGGTCTTTGTTGGGCAGTAAAAAATTTTTTTATTTTAAATATATTTTTTAAATATACACTATAACATATCTGATGGCCATGCCAAAACTACAAGATCTCCTTGAGAATAGAGAATGTATAGAAAATGCACTTTTAAATACTGACCTTTCTCAGTAAAGAAAAGAAATTAGCAATCAATTTACCATAGGCATCCTGAATTTATGGAAATAAGAATTTGATCACTTCTAAGAAGTACAACCAATAACATATATTTGCTAAAAATAAAAATCCCATCAGTAAGGCACAGTCTTGAAAAATAAACAGATTCATGAGGAGAATATTCAAATACATATATTTCAATATATGAAAAATGCTCATCTTTTCCCCAACTATTCATCAGAAAAATGCAAATTAAAATCAAAATAAATATTTACATCTGCTATAATGACTAACATTAAAAAGACTGACAATGACCAGTGTTGATAAGGACACAGACCAGTAGGGACTTGCAGACAGGGTGGTGGGAGTATGAATTGGTAAACCACTTGGGACAACTCTTTGGTGCTATCTAGTGATGTCAAACATAAACATAACCTCTAACTTGGTTATGTTGCTCTAAGGTTTTACTCACATCCAACAGAAAAGTGAGTCAAAAGCACCAAAAGACATACTAAAATGTTCAGGGCAGTCTTATTGGTAATAGTCCAAAACTGGAAACAATCCAATGTCCATCAACAGGTGAATACATGAACAAAGTATGGTGTATTCTTACACTGGAATATGATAGATAATAAAAATGAACAAAATACAACTCCATGCAATGACATTGTGAAATCGCACAATATACTGAAAAACAAAACAAAACAAAACGTATAATGTTAGAAGTCAGGATAAGGGGGGCTCCCTGGGAGGAGGAAGTAGCTGACAACAGGACAAGCCAACAGCATTGTAGCATGCTAGTGTGGTCCCAGCTTTCATATGGATCCTGACTATATGGGTGTCTGAGAATTCATGGAGCCGTGTCCCCTTATGATTGTGTACCTCTCTGTGTTTTTGGTTTACTTAAAAAAAAAAAAAAAGGTTTATTTATTTATTTGAGAGGGAGAAAGAGAGAGAGAAAGCATGGGGACGAAGGGCAGAGGGAGAGAGAGTCTTAGGCAGACTCCCAGATGAGTATGGAGTCCAAGGTGGGGCTTGATCTCATGACCCTGAGTCAAAACCAAGACCTGAATCAAAACCAAGAGTCAGATGCTCAATAGTTGTGCCACCCAGGCGTCCCATTTGTTTTACTTTATTTTTTTTTTTAAGATTTTATTTATTTATTTGACAGATCACAAGCAGGCAGAGAGGCAGGCAGAGAGAGAGGAAGGGAAGCAGGCTCCCTGCTGAGCAGAGAGCCCGAAAAGGGACTCAATCCCAGGACCCTGGGATCATGACCTGAGCCGAAGGCAGAGGCTTTAACCCACTGAGCCACCCAGGTGTCCCTTTGTTTTACTTTAATAATAATTTTTAAGTTCAAAGAAGTAGGAGGAAATCCATAAAGGGTGATTTCAGGAGCCTGTAGGAAAGCCCCAGTGACCCCCACCACCCCACCCAGTTCTGCCCTCTTTGTCGAACTGAGTTCTCAAATCCAACCACTGGATTTATTCCTCTAATCTGTTTTCATAGGCAGCATATGTGCATTCAGCAACTATTCGTGGGGGGCCTCTTATGGACCAGACACTGTGCTGGAATAGAAAGACGAATAAGACAGGTTGGCGAATTTGCAGGAATTCACAGCCTACGGAAGCAGAACAGCTTTTTAATCACACACTCCGCTGAACACTCCACACACATCTTACTGAATTCACACATTCTCATTTAATTCTCCTGATAACTCAGTCCATGAGTCAGTGGCCAAGCTCAGAGTCAAACCCGGTTTAGATGAACTCAGAGCAATGTCTTCCCTGTACACCAGGTTTGGCCACGTGTCGTGTTTACCAGGATATCGCCTGCTGACCCACAGCAGACATCACTAATCAATCAGAAACCTCTTCTCTCCCTGACCTCGATGGAGCCTCACAGTCCTCCCCTCACTGCACCGTGGACAACCATGATAGCACAGTGAGGATCAACCCACGCAGTACCTTATCACTGGTCCTCTTGAATCACAGCTGCTACCTTTGGAAACCTTTGTCCATTTCAAAACACCCTTGGGGAGAGTTGTAAGCTGTTATCAGCAATCTGCCTCTGGCTGTGAATGGGAATTTAAGAATACGTTTGGAGGCAGGGGCAGGTCAGGAAGTACACAATCAACGCAGGTCTAGAGCTTTAAGGAAGAAGGGGTAAGGCACTGCAGGAAACTTGCTTGTACCACTCTTTTGCCTCTAGTAAACCCAGTCTTAGTGATAAAACCCAGCCTTAGTGATAAGCTGATAGGGATGCCTGGGTGTCTCAGTGGGTTAAATGTCCAACTCTTGGTTTCAGCTCAGTTCACGATCTCAGGATCATGGGGCTTGGTGCTCAGCACAGAATTTGCTTCTCCCGCTTCCTCTGCCCCTCTCCACCGCATTCTTTCTCTCTCTCTGAAAATAAATAAGTTAATCTTTCTTTTTTAAGATTTTATTTATTTATTTGACAGACGGAGATCACAAGTAGGCAGAGAGGCCGGCAGAGAGAGAGGAGGAAGCAGGTTCCCCGCCGATCAGAGAGCCCGACACGGGGCTCAATCCCAGGACCCTGGATCATGACCTGAGCCGAATGCAGAGGCTTTAACTCACTGAGCCACCCAGGTGCCGCTAAGTCAATCTTTTAAAAAAAAAAAAAAAAAAGGTAAGTTGATAAATTAATCCTCCTGCAATTACAGGCAACTGAAAGGGATCCTGAGATCAACTGTGCAAATATTCTGTGGGGTTAAAAACTCAACTCCTGGTTTCAGCAGAACTCCTGATCAGTTCTCAAGCAAGAGAATTTATCAGCATGCTTTATCTGTACCCTACCCTGTAATGAAAGCTACAGGATAGGGGAAAAGCAGTGGTTAGAGGAAAATGCGTAGCTGTAACACCGATTTAAATAGAGAAGAAAGATCTCATATAAACAATCTAACCTTCCATGTCAGGAAACTAGAAAAACAAAAAAAAAAAGAGCAGTCTAAATGCAAAGCCAGCAGAAGGAAGGCAATAGTAAAGCTTAGAATGGAGATAATCGTTTCTGTGTGTTATCTCTGAGAAGGTGAGCCCATGAGAGGAAACAACCATCTTCCTAGGCAATGTGTCAGGGCATTGATAGCTTATCTCTGAGCCCAGACTGTGGGGTGTTAAGTTCCCACAGAGTATCATTGCTGTGAAACCACTTGGACAAGTGATGGGGCAGACAGGTAATGTGAGATAAAGACTTCAACTGTTCATTTCGTGTTCCCAGAGGCCAAGTGCAGAGCCCATGCTTTGATATAGCTCTACGAGAGTCACCCCTCAGATTGCCCTGCCTGTCTTCTCCCCACTCCAATCCTCAGCCACTTTTCCCTTTGGCCGTTGTGAGAGATGCTTCTCATCCTCTTTAAGACTGTCGAGCAAATGGCTGAATCAGCAAAGACAAGGAGACAGGAGACCCTTGACAGGGAAAACTCTGGTTCTGCAGGGGGAACAGCAAAAGTTGGCAGGGAATCCAAGGAACACATGTTGCAGATAAGAGGGACTCTGGATGAGAAGAAGGGAGAGGCAGGTGGCTAGAAATTTCTCTAGCTCTGCACACCAAGGAGGTCCAGGCTCAAAGAGTCCATTCTCCACACTTTGCCTCTGGGAGCAGAACCCCAAATCTCTCTAAGCCAAGGGTACACAAGTATTTGTCTGCCTCATGGGTATGCTGAGGACTACCTCACCCACTGGTCGCTTAGGCACACTCTAGAACGCTCTTTTTGCAGCAGTGGTGACCAGCATTACTGCTGCTCTGTTAATCATCCAGCAAGACTAACATTACTTTTCTCATTGTCCTTCCTCATACTCCCCCAGATCCTGTCTCCCATTAGGGTTTGTTCTGTGAGGTCCCATCCCTATAGTAATCATATGTCCTCGATGTGCTTTTAATAAACATGATTTATATTATTTTATCACATTTAATCATTACACAAAACTATGAGACAGATATCTTCACTCTCATTTTCTGACCAAGGAAGCGGAGGCTCAGAAGGTGTTGTTAACAGGATGAAGCAGGCTGGGATAGAAACTCAGGGTTGACTCACCTCAAAACCTGCAATTTTCTTACCCCATCAGCCTCCTAAGTGCCTGAGACTTAACTCTGTCCATAGAGCCTTAGTCATAAAAACACATTCTCCAACAAGGGGGGGAAAACTCTCATAATCAAGAATGAAGAATGAAGTTGACCAGAATCTTCCAATTAGGGTGGTATCAAACAAGAATTAAAATGTAGACCAGGGGGAGCCTGGGTGCATTTAGTCAGTTACGTGTCCAGCTCTTGATTTCAACTAAGGTCATAATCTCAGGGTCATGGAATCGAGCCCTACACTGGGCATAGCACTCAGTGCAGAGTCTGCTTGTCCCTCCCTCTCTGCTCTCCTCCCCAGCCCCCAACCTCTCTATCTCTCTCTAAAATAAATAAATAAAACCTTAAAAAAAATGTAGACCAGGCTGACATTACTAAATGAGCAAAACACAATGAAGAGTGCTTTTATTTCTTCCTTTTCTAATCAGTACCTCTTATGATTTTTTTCTTGTCTTATTGCCCTGGCCCAAACTTCCAGTATTATGTTGAATAGAAGTGATAAGAGAGGATGTTAGGGGGAAAAGCATCCTGCCTCTCACCATTAAGTATGTTAGCTGTACATTTTTTTTAAAAGATTTTATTTATTTATTTGACAGAGATGATCACAAGTAGACAGAGAGGCAGGCAGAGAGAGAGGGGGAAGCAGGCTCCCTGCTGAGCAGAGAGCTTGATGTGGGGCTCAATCCCAGGACCCTGAGATCATGATGACATGAGCCGAAGGCAGAGGCTTTAACCCACTGAGTCACCCAGGTGCCCCGGCTGTACATTTTTTATAGATGTTCTTTATCAAGTTCAGGAAATTCTACCCCATGCTTAATTTTTTGATAGTTTGTATCATAAAGGGTGTAGGATTTTATCAAATGCTTTTTCTTTTTTTTAATTTTTTATTTTTTTATAAACATATAATGTATTATTAGCCCCCGGGGTACAGGTCTGTGACTCGCCAGGTTTACACACTGCACAGCACTCACCATAGCACATACCCTCCCCAATGTCCATAACCCCACCACCCTCTCCCATCCCCACTCCCCCCAGCAACCCTCAGTTTGTTTTGTGAGATTAAGAGTCTCTTATGGTTCGTCTTCCTCCCAATCCCATCTTGTTTCATTTCTTCTATTCCTGCCCCCCAAACCCCCCACATTGCATCTCCACTTCCTCATATCAGGGAGATCATATGATAATTGTCTTTCTCCGATTGACTTATCTCGCTCAGCATAATACCCTCTAGTTCCATCCACGTCATCACAAATGGCAAGATTTCATTTCTTCTGATGGCTGCATAGTATTCCATTGTGTATATATACCACATCTTCTTTATCCATTCATCTGTTGATGGACATCTAGGTTCTTTCCATAGTTTGGCTGTTGTGGACATTTGGGTGCAAGTGCCCCTTTGGATCACTACATTTGTACCTTTAGGGTACATACTCAAGTAGTGTGATTACTGGGTCATAGGGTAGCTCTATTTTCAACTTTTTGAGGAACCTCCATGCTGTTTTCCAGAGTGGATGCACCAGCTTGCATTCCCACCAACAGTGTAGGAGGGTTCCCCTTTCTCCGTCAAATGCTTTTTCTGCATTAACTGGTATAATATGGTACTTCTTCTTTGGCTTATTGCTATGATGGATTATTATTATGTATAATATATAATATGTTCCATGTTATATATTAATATTATTAATTATTAATATAACATGACACTAATTAATTGATTTTTGAATGTTCAACCGGCCTTGCATATCTGGAAAAACTCCCACTTGCTTGTGGTATATAATTTTTTTTAATACTTTGTTGGATTCATACCTGTCTGGAATGGATTCACATCAATACATAAAATGCAAAGTCATGTTGGGACCCAAACTCAGCTGTACCTGCATGAAAAGGGAGAAAGTATTGGTATTAACGAAAACATGGCAGACTTCTAACAGTATTCTAGGGATTTATGGAGAAGATAGGGTTATGGTGAAGAGCTTGGAGAGGGAAGGAAAGGAGAGAGAAGAGAAGGTAAAGGGAGAAATACAGCAACAAATTGGGGAGAAATGCATAATACAATGTGAACTAAAAATAATAAGGGCTAACATATGCTGAAGATATACTATAAGCTAGAAACTGTACTAAATCCCTTTTAGTATATTTAGATATACTTAGTTTATATTTATATAAATATATTTATTATATTTATTATATATAGTAAATACATATATTTACTATATAAATATATTTATATATTTATATTTATATAAAATTTACATATAATTTTATAAATATTAAATATATTTATAAAAACATATACATATATATATTTAGTATATTTAGATATTTAGAAGGATTCATAACTGGCAAAATATCCCAATCACAAGAGATACAGAGTTGACAGAAATTATATTTCCCCCTCTTATCTACAAGGATGTCAGGAGAAGCCTTATCAAAAGTTTTACAGAACACCTGGTTGGTTTACTGTTCGCTCCTTCCTAAATTGCCTTTTTGAATAACATCATTTAATGGGGAAGTGTGCCTTATTAGTGCAGGTGAGGAAAGGTGAGATTAAGTAACTTGCTCATGTTTACAGCTGCTAATCGGCTTTGTGAGGCTTTGAGCCCACACATTGGCCTCTGGTGTTCAAGTTCTTGACTTCCATGAGAATATACAGTCTGCCACAGAGAATACAAACTTCTATCTGTAAAGTTATTTTAAATATGTAAACTCTGAATATGTCCAGGGACCCATTCAAAAAAAGGACATGGGCAGAAGGAAAACACCAAGCTGGGAAGAAATACACTGAGCGTTAACATTGACATCATGTTCAATATTAACTCGCACTATGACCTGATGGTCATGAACGGGAAAGCAAGCTTAAGCCCTGTGGACGAAGGTCAAGTGTCGGATGAGAGCACCTCACACGGACTGTGTCAGCCAGACCCCACAGGACTATTCTTTCATTGCACAAGCTACCATTTGGAGAGCTCACATGAACAAATGAGAAGATGTCAGGTATTTGAAGAGAGTGAGGAACGTTTGGTGTTGTGTTCAAGAGAAAGGGTGGAAAGTCACTGGGAACATAAGGAAATGTGTGCAATGAAGCTTTGAGAAGAAAAATATGGCAGGCACCTGGGTGGCTCAGTTGGTTAAGGATCCAACTCTTGGTTTCAGCTCAGGTCATGATCTTAGGGTCCTGGGATTGAGTCCTATATCAGGCTCCCTGTTCACATGAGGTCTGCCGAGATTCCTGCTCCCTCTCCTTGTATCCTTCCCACCCCTTGCTCTCTCACTCTTTCTCAAATAAATAAATAAATAAAATCTTTTTTTTTTTTAATGAGAGACAGAACAGAGAGAAAAACTCATTTTCTATAAACCATCCATTTTTTCCAATGATAAAAAACATAAAAGAGCAAAGAATTCTATTAAATGTTTTTGTCACTGGATTCAAAAAATCAGCTATGGAAAATAAATACAAAATACTTTTCTGGCAAAAGTTATTGTAAGAATGGGAAAACTCGGGGTGCCTGGGTGGCTCAGTGGGTTAAAGCCTCTGCCTTCGGCTCAGGTCATGGTCCTGGGGTCCTGGAATCAAGCCCCATATCGGGCTCTCTGCTCAGCGGGGAGCTGCTTCCCTTCCTCTCTCTCTGCCTGCCTCTCTGCCTACTTGTGATCTCTGTCTGTCAAATGGATGAATAAAATCTTAAAAAAAAAAAAAGAGGGAAAACTCTTTTAATAATTAGAGCTTTTAAAGAATGGACTGAAAAGCAGGAGGGGGTCAGTGGGTAGAGAGCAGGGTCCTGGTTGAGGACATGGAGAAACAGATCTCCCGTTGGATGACAGAGGTAGGGATTAGTCTTCATGGCCCCAAGCCTGACCTTTCCAGGCACCCAGGTGTAGGAAAGCCCAGCTCAGAGTCTTGGCTTGTCTTCAGCTCTGCTGACCAGCTACATGATCAAGTTCTCAGACCTTTCTTGACCTGTTTCTTCATCTGAAATACGAGAAAGCTAGACCAGATGATTGCTAAGAACTTTGCTAGCTCTAACGGGCAGAATTCAGGCAGAACATCCAACAGATGTCCTCTCCACACACTCGGCACCCATGTGACAATTAAGGTGGGCCAATGCTGTGACACCTGCTATCCCATAGGTCATAGAAATATTTGGAAAGAGCAGATAGACCAGAATAAAACGAAAGTCTACGTGGAAACGCTTATGCATACATTCAGAATCTACGTCACCCCGGAAGGGAATAAGACCCAGTCAGACTGTCAGTAGCACCGACCAGAACCTGGAAAGGTCACCAAACCCTTTGATGGAACAACTTCTTTGTTTTTAAGCTATGAGTGATTCACAGCATATTTTGTCACCTGCAGTCTGGAGAAGAGAAATGCCTCGGAATATTTAAGTGTGCTTCTAAAATATTAAGCAGCTCCCACAGGCAGTGAAACTGATCCAACCATATCTCTGGTATCATTGTCCCTCTCCCCGTCTCCTCAGCACCTGAGAACATGAGGTCAGTGTCCATCCCCCAAGAAGGGTCACAGGCCGCTGCCTCCTCTCCCTTGCCCGCAGTGGGCAGTGGCTGTTGAGCAGCCGAGGCCACAGGGCCTGAGGCCCTTGGCTTCCGGGTCCAGCCAGACATGGATGGGGGACCTGGGCCAGTGGCCTGGCCCTCTGCTGTTTCTCTTTCAGCTCCAAGCATTAATTTCCTTTTTGCAATTTTCGATAAATCCCTAATCAATCTATCCCTCATGCTTCTGTTTGGTAGGAAAAAGTGTTCATTTTCAAACTTAGATGATGCCCAGAGTTTTGATTCGGGGTTTTTTAGAAGCCAAGTAACAGAAGAGCCTCAGTGGCTCTGATGGGGCACTTGGCTTGGGCGGAAGGGCTGCCGATCTGTTTTCTGCGGCTGTGAATTGATTTAGTTTCCCTTTCTGTTCTCTTGTACACACACGCACACGCCTGCACACGCAGGCACACGGGAAGCACACAGTACAGGGGCCCCTGGGTGCCGCAGTCAGTTAAGTGTCAGACTCTTGATTTTGGCTCACGTCCTGATCTCAGGGTCCTGAGATCAAGCTCCGCCTTGGGCTCTAGGCTCAGTGGGGAATCTGCTTGAAATTCTCTCCCTTTCCTTCTGCCCCCCCCCAAATTAATAAATAAATCTTAAAAAAAAAAAAAAAGAAACAAAGAAAGCACAAAATACATATAATCTGCTTTTTCTCCTTGGGCTTCCGATGCCACTTACTGACTTGGGACCTGGACAAATTGTCTTCTAACCTCAGTCTTCTTTTATCTATGAAACAGGAACAAAAAAGTCAACTTCACAGGTGTGCGTTGGAACCAAATGTCATCAGACGAGTTTGGGGCTCTGCCAAAGGTGACTCGGGGCAATCTGCATTCCCTGACCTCATCGCCAACTGACGCTGGTGGCCATATGATTTGGTGGCTCAAGCTCTCCTCCCTGGAGTCAGGCCTGGCTTTGGTTCCCAGGCAGCCACTGAGTTCAGGACAGAACCAGGAATGTGGCAGGTGCTCAGGTAATCCTAACCACGGTCACTGCTGACAGCACAGTGTGACACAATCCTTGGTGATTTAATGTTTATAAATGAAAAGAAATGGAGACGTAGGCAGACCACCCACCTACATTAGCTGTTTTTAGTTGTAAGTAGAAGTTGCCCCGATAAATGAATAGCTTCCTTTCTTTACCGCTGAACTCTCCTCTTCATTGAGAAATACTGTCAACTGCTCTGAAACAAGAGGCTTAGTCAGACTCTCTTCCCATTGTTAAAAGGCAAGAGGATGTAATTACATTTGTCATAGTATTTCTCACCGTCATAAAGGTGGGTGTACATCTCTCTAGCTAGCCATGACCTTGGATGAAAACAGGCATTAAAATGAAAACTCAGGAGGCAGAGAAATGATATATGCAAATAATATTTGAAAAGAACAAAAGCAGGATTTGCTGAGTACTTGTAAGAGACCACATGGTTCAAACTCTTACCTTGTTTAATCCTTGCGACCTTAGGAGAGCGGCGCTGTTCCTGGCCCATTTTACTCAGGAGACAGCTGAGGCTCTTCAAGGTTAACTAATATGCGTGAAGCCCACATTTAGAAGGAACTGGGATCCACTTTCCACTCCAACCCCTCCTGCTCTGAGGTCAGCTCTCTCCAGCTCCCGTGTCCCTGCTGGGAAAGTATAATGCTCAATCCCAAAGTCAAGTGCTCATCTGTCTTCACTTAGAGACTAAATCTTTGTAAGTTCGGAGAGACTTGGATTTCCTTTTTCCAGGTAATCGATAGGGCAATACATCGCCTCATTTAATTGTATAACTTCTGTCTCTTCTTTTCTCTACTAATTTCATTTACAGCAAATTTCATACATTTTTGAGACTCTTAAGTCTTTTTTTTTAATAGAAATCATTTTACTCCCTTTTCCCAATAGGAGACAGTCATAAAACAAAGTGGATGCTAGTCCTTTTAATTTTGCTCCTTGAATTTAATCTGAGGATTACGGTGGAAACATCATGTGATGTCTTGGGGCCTCTCCACTAGAGAGAGACAGAAATTTTCATTTAGAGTTTACTTTCCTGATGAATAGAAAAATGAAAGAAAGCAAAAGAAAAAATACAAACATTTGAAAAAATATTCTGCCTTCTGCAATGCTAACAAAGACACAAATGGCATAGTTTTTGTTTTCATTTTTGTTTTGTTGTTGATGTCAGCCGGTCTTGGAGAGAGTGCTTGTAAAAGGTGCTCACATACCCTGCTAGGATGTCCATAGCATAAATCTTTGGGTTTTGTTTTTTTGTGGTTTTTTTTTAGATTTTATTTATTTGAGATGGAGAGCAAGAGCTGGTGAGCGGGGAGGGGGGGATGGGCGGGGAGCAGGTGCAGAGGGAGAGGCAGACTCCCTGCCAAGAGCAGAGCCCAACATGGGGCTCCCAGGACTCTGGGATCATGACCTGAGCTGAAGGCAGTTGCTTCACTGACTGAGCCACCCAGGCGCTCCCAACTCACAACCTCATGTGGAAGGCAATGTGGCAAACCCAATGTCACACCCTCTTCTCAGTCCAGACTCCTCAGGCTACAGGTAACAAATCCAAGTCCAAACAGCTTAGTAAAAACAAGAAATAAAAATCATAGGTCCTGGGACTGGAAAGCCCTCTAGACTGGATGCAGCAGGACCCAGGCAAACAATTTCACCAGGATCTGTTCTCGTTCCATTTCTCAGTCCTGCTTTCTTCTGTCTGGTTTGATTCTCAGCATTTCTCATGTGGTGGCAAGACGGCCTTGGCATCTCAAAGTTTGTACCCTACTGGCCACAGGTCCAGCGGGAAGAGTGTGTCCCTTTCCTAACAGCTGTAATAAAAGTAGGTTATTGAGTTCCTTGACTCTGATAGTCTGTCCTCATTCACAGGCACATTCCAGAGCTAATCCTGGTGATACAGGAAATGCAATATTCTGATCTGCTTGGCTAGAGTCAGGTGCTTGCCCTTGGAACTGGACTGGAAAACCGCTTGGTATTAAGGAGGGCACATATTGCATGGAGCACTGGTGTGGCGCATAAACAATAAATGTTGGAACACTGAAAAAATTAAATTAAATTAAATTAAAAAAATAAATTAATAACTCCCCCCCCAAAAAAAAAAAAAGGAAAACCGCTTGGACAGAGAGTGAGGGTAGATTGTTCGTGAAAGAAAACTGGGAACAATACAACAGATAATACAAACAAAATAATCCCAAAGCAAGAAAAACCGAGGTCTACCATATCCATTCACCCAACAATTCCTCTTGTGAGCAAAAGATTAAGGAAATGTGAAGCATTGATTACAAGGTAATAAACCTGTGGGTTTATACTCTCACAATACCAAAAAATTGAATAAGCTAAATGGCCAAAATAGACAGTGTGTTAAATCAGGATACAGTGTCAAATGTACTATTGAAAGAGTGTACAGGAGAATATTTAATGCCTTGGATCGGTAATGTTAATCGGTAAGTACCACACCTTATCTTATTTCATTTTAGACTTTACAAAGTCTCGAGATGTGGGTATGAGTTATTTGCCCATTTGCAGAAGAGGAAATTATTAAGGAGGTACTTCGGATAGTTCCAGCAGCCACCATCCCATGGACGATGGTCCTGAGTCACTCCTGTGTATTACATTTTTCCAGCCTGGACCCCCACATCAACTTTGGAATCTCCAGCTCCCATTTCCATTTTGCCACTGGATGATCCGGAAACATAATCACCATGTTCAAGGCGTATGTGATTTGCCCAAGGCCGCCTAGCCAGGAACGAGGTCTCCCCTTGGATTCTGGTCCATGTGCGTCCACCTGCCACTGCCTACCTGCCCTCTTACATGTAATGACAGGTCCTATTTTTTAGAAAATCATTAAACAGGAGCTCCTGGGTGGCTCAGTCAGTTAAGCATCTGCCTTCGGCTCAGGTCATGATCTCGGGATCCTGGGATTGAGCCCCATGCCAGGCTCTCTGCTCAGCGGGGAGTCTGCTTCTCCCTCTCCCTCTGCCCCTCCCCCACTTGTGTGGTCTCTCTCAAATTGTGAATAAACTCTTGAACAAAAGAAATTCCTAAAACAGTACATCTGTGTGTCTACATTTTATTTTTAAGAAGTATCTGTAGAAAATAGAACTGAGGGGAACTTGGGGAGTGCAGTTGGTTAAGTGGATGACTCTTGATTTGGACTCAGGTTGTGATCGCATGGGTCATGATCTCATGGTTGTAAGATCGAGCCCCACATTGGGCTCCGCACTGAGCACAGAGTCTGCTTGAAACTCTCTCTCTCTCCCTCTACTACTTATGCTCTAAATCAACCAACCAACCAACTAATTAATCTTAAAAAAAAAAAAAACAGAATTGAAAAATTACATGTGTTGGTAACTGAAATAAAAGTTTCACAAAACAATACTTAGCCCTACTCCCTGTGAGATACTTTGCACTCCCATTTCAATTATTCTTTTCATACAAAGGCTATCTCTAGCTGCAGCTTTTTGAAATTTAAATGTTTTTCTTTTGGCTTTTTAAAAATATTTTCTACAGCAAACCCATTTTGTAATAAAAGAAAGAAAAAGACAAAACAAAACCAAAAATTTAAAAATCATTTTCTTTCAAGTAGCCCTGGCCTCAAATAAGTTTGGTCCAGAGGGAGAAAAACCAGGCTGGGCCCCTGATCACTTTTCTAACATCTTGCAGCAGGGATCGAGGTACACTGGAATCTAAAATAAATGCCCTCATCTCTTGCTCTTATCTCTGGGGTAGCCAGGTTTCAAGATGGGCCCCTGTGATCCCCACCTCCTGGATTTTGCATCCTTGCAGAGTGCCCTCCCCCACTGTATCAGGTTTTTCTCTGTGACCAATAGTTTGTAGCAGAAGCGAGGGAATGCCACTTCAAACATTAGGTTATACAAGACTGTGGCTGGGTGAAAGACACATACGGCAAGGACCCAAGGTATGCAGCCAGCAGTCGGTGAGGAACTGGGGCCTCCTGCCAATAGCCAAGTGAATAATTGTGATAGCCCCAGCACACTCATGAGAGACTGTGATCCACAATCCCCCAGTTAAGCTCCTAGACGCATGACCATTGGGTGTGTAAGGTAACACATATTTGTTGTTTTAAGTTGGTCGATTTTGAGATAATTTGTTACACAGCTGTAGCTAACTAATACACGCCCCCAGTGAATGGTCTCTGGGATTCGCTGTGTGGCCCGGCAGACCTGCATTTAGAACTGAGAGAAGAGAAGGAACTGGGATTGTTCTATTGTTGTTGAGAAATAGGGAGACAGTTGGCTGGAAGCCCAGGGAGCAAGAAGGAGTAGAAAAATACAGAACGAAAACTGTGCAGCAAACTCAATCTATGAAAGAAGCAGCTATATTCAAGGTGAGGTATGGGATACACGGAAGCAAAAACTCACCTCTGCAGCCGCCATCCTCCTCACCCCATCGTTGCTGTGTGTAAACAAGAAAAGCTACTCATCCACCAAGTGGAATACCAAATTCAGTTGAATTCATTAAATGGCTTCTTTGTCCTAATGAAGTGAAAAAATATATATAGAGAGAGAACTTTTCTGTGGTTTTCATGGAAAACTGACAACCAGGCACCCAAGGAAGGTGATTCTGTCCCCAAATCCAGCAAAGCAGAGCAACCGTTATCTCCTCTGCTGTTGGGAACTTAGTCTGGGCTGTATTGTCCAGTGGCTTTTGGGGACCCATCAGTATTTAATCCTCCTCACTTCCTGCTCTTTCTCCCTAGTCTGTCAGCTGGTTGCGTTTTTGCTTCCTTTAGTTGTGGCGTCCAACCATTCTTATAAACATGTAAGAACTCTTATTTATATAAAGTGTTTGCTCTAAATCACTGAGGCTTGAACCACTGATACACAGGAGCCACACTCTCGGTATTCGAAATATAAA